TTGACTTGACCGCACCACAGCCGTATTGTCCTCCTCAGGAAAAGAGCTTTTAACATCCGGACGTCACCTTTCCTCTTTTAAAATGAAAATTTTCTATAGTACTTTCTTGGAATTTTCTAGAAATTTTCACTCAAACATAATCTGAAGGATCGAAAGTTTTTGAGGAAAAATATTCACCCAACTTTCGTCCGAAACTATTACTTTATTCGGCAACATTCTAATGTTCATTTGCCGTTTTTAATAACAATGCACGGTATCATAGCCGTGTCATTTCGTCCCATCTTCTGCTCTATCATCAACCAGTGCACGATTAAGCGGTGTCAATTTAAAAAAAAAAAAAAAAAAAAAAAAAAAAAAAAAAAAAAAAAAAAAAANAAAAAAAAAAAAAAAAAAAAAAAAAAAAAAAAAAAACTAAAAGTCGTCGAAATGTCAATATTGAATTGAATATTCAAAACCGTGTACACATTTATGAAGCTAAATATTTTATTAATTAGGTAGCTGAAGAAATCGTTCAGTGATTAATAGTAACCTGACTGTAACTCATGCAAACCGTGAAATCCGGTTATTCTTGTTCCGGTTAAATTTCGATCCTTGGATAGTCATTGAAAACCCGGAAGAGTAGGAGCATTTTGCCCAATCTCGAAAAGTCAGGTAATTTTGCCATGGAATCTTCAAATTCTTTCTTTCGGCAGAAACTTTCAAATTACTTTCTACCTCATTGACACGCTTTTCATCAATTAAAATTAGAATTTCTGCCTGTAGGTGCTCGAAGTTTCAGTTTCTCTCAGGTATCTTTAAAGACTTTGCGCCTTTTTTTTTTTAACAACAATTTTCTGAAAAATTATGCTCCAAAAAACATCGAAAAGTAGTCAGCAACGATGCTGTTCCCTGTGCTCAATAAGACCACTACCACTCGCACCGAGGAAATAGGTAATTTGTCGAAATTTTTCTTTCAGCGTCCAAGATTTATGACTAAAAAGAAGAGGGAGGGCTCCTTTGTTGACCGACCGAAATGGAGGAGAATACCCGAAAGGTCTGTTTGGTCAGTATCGACCGATTCTCAAACGGACATCGGCTGTTTTCGTGTCCTATCTTGGTAGGAAGGCAAGGCATTCCATTTGTGACCCCTCTACAGATCATTGTTTCGAGACTTGTTCTGGAAAGCTCCCTTTCAACTCTCCGATGAATATGAGAGAGAATCGAATGGATCACGTCGAAACTGGTGGTCCTTATTTTTTTTTGGCTTCAGGACTATCGTTACTGCACTGCGGGCTGATTATTGAAATTGATAGACAAAGCGATAGACAAAAAGAGCATAGAAAGTATGGAGCGATCCTATTGGTTGAAGTGTGTGGTTCCTATAGACTAACGGAGAAAATGATAGACTAACTGTCGGGTTCTCGTGGGTTGCAGTTAGTTAGTCTATTACCTGCTGCCTTTGTCCATCGCAACCACCCGCTTCCACCAATAGGATCCCTGCATATCTACTTCATCTTATTTGTCTATAGCTTTGTCTATTAATTTCAATAATCGGTCCGCTGGAAAAAAAACACATTGGATCTAGAATCCAGACTCTTGAAAACATGGACAAGAAAAAATACTCTAGATTCAATCGGATTTTTGCTTGAATCAAAACGAAATCCGCTTAAATTATGAGGCTTGGTTCGTGATTTAAGCTAGATTCTGATTGAATCAAGAGTACTTTTTCTTGTCGATGTTTTTAAGAGTCTGGACTCTAGATCCAATGTGTTTTTTTTCCAGTGTTTGTCGCAATTTGAGCGGGAAATTGAAATTTTTGAAAGTTTTCGAATTTCTTCAGTCGAAGGTATTGAAAAAGTGCTGAATTTTTTTATTGAGGAGGTACTGAATTTTTTGGGAATGTACTAAAAAAGTACTGTAAAAGTACTGAATTTTGGCCCGCCTATTTTAGTAGACACCCTGTTGTAGCTCAAAAATTTGCGAGACTATAATTTTACTTCGTTTCTTTTCACATCAATATCAGCCGACATTTTCGCATTTACTTAGTCCCAGTTCCTTCCGACCGTAAGTCGAGCTACTGAGTCGGGTTTCCATGGTGACCCGTCGAGTCCTTCTTCCGTAGGTCACCGAAGCCGCACGCCTTATCCGAATATCGATACAGCCCTGCAGGGTGCGGGGTCATGGGGTCAAACTTCACGATGTAAAGTTCAAGCACAAATGAAGCGCGCTTTTACCCCGGGACTGCAATTAAAATGTTTGCCAGCGCCCGGCTCGTTCGTGGAAGGGGACGAAAATCGTCGTAGCTTGCCGCTCGAACATCGCGATAGTACTAAAGACTAAAGTACTCACCCAAGGACTTACATTGTAGGGAGCGTATGACCATCAGAAAATGCACCTCTGATTGGTGCGACCATTTTGTGTTCTTTTAATGGAGATGTTGCATGTGTGAGGAATTTGCGATTTGACTGTTGATTCTTATGTGAAAGTTCGCGAGAAACACGATGGTGCCACTGGTTCTCTCTGAAATCATCTTCCAAGCTCAAAAAAAGCTCTCAAGTTGAGGCCTAAATGGAGGGAATATTCCACGCTATCCTGAGAGTCCACCTCTACATCAAAACAAACTCTCCATGCAAAGATAGGGAGCAAATACATTGACAGGACTGCCACTTTATTTGGGGACTCCAAAACTGAAAACAAGGCAACCCTGCTAATGTACTTGCTCCCTATCTTTACATGGAGAGTTTGTTTTGATGTAGAGGTGGACTCTCAGGATAGCGTGGGATATCCCCTCCATTTTGGCCTCAACTCGAGAGCTTCTTTTGAGCTTGGAAGATGATTTCAGAGAAAACCAGTGGCACCATCGTGTTTCTCGCGAACTTTTACATAAGAATCAACAGTCAAATCGCAAATTCCTGACACATGCAACATCTCCATTGCTCTGAGGTAGTAAAGGGTATTTTCTTATTGTTAGTTTTGAAACCAATTTTGCGCATGTCATTTGTAGAATCTTCTCAATAGAAACCTCTATACTGTGGTAAAGTTGGTAACAGGTACAGCGGACAATCATCGTCAAAAGTTGGCAAAATTTCCCTTTCACCCGCTCATTTTACAGAGAGAAAATAAGTTTTGGTTCTTATTGAACTCGAAAGTTTTTCGGTTCTTATTGAACACGGAAGTTTTTCGGTTCAGATGACCGAGGTTTTCGGTTCAGATGACCGAGGTTTTCGGTCACAAAGATGGATCCTTGGTTCAGCTAACCCAAAAACGAAATTCAGTTCCTATCACCGTAAATATCGAGTACATGAACCGAGAAACCTTGGTTTTTCATATGAACTTGAATTTGGTTGTTCCCTGCGTAGCCGAAATGGTTTTCTCAAATTAGAGTCTTGGCCATTTTTATTTTATTTTTTATCCTAAGGGTCTTCACGAGACCTTTACTCCTTACCCTGTAGAGGTACTCTACTCCTCCTTGTGGACGTTCACTGACGTAGACTCGATCGATGTCGAAGTTGTGACGAAGCTCTGAACTGAAGTCTAAGGAGCAACAATAACCCCACGCCAATACGTTTTTTATAAACCTCCCGCAGCCCAAACCGCGTATCACTTCCTGGCTGAAATTTTGACAGGGAAGAGCTCAGTGTGTAGTGCCGTCATCTGTAAAACTGCGGATCTCCTTAGGGCTGTAGTTGGACTTAGACGGTTTATAGCGAGCAGTGGCGTGGCGTGCTCTGCGATATATCGATTGTTCTGCCATTTAAATTCATGGTAAAGAATCGATCATTAAAGTGTTCGCTGCGAACACCCTGAGAATCGATCCTTTTCTATAGGTTCAAATGGCATAACAATCGATATATCGCAAAGCACGCCACGCCACTGAAGCGAGCGTCGATCAAGACCCTGTCCTCTGGCTCGTTGCCCGAAAACACCAACTTTCACTGAGCCCTCCCTCTCCTTCCGCGCATGTCTCTCGCGTAAAGTTTCTCCTGGCTGCTTCAGAGTTATCCGAATGCTCGGTGGAAGAATCGAAAAGTTTGCCCCGCTTACGGGAGCACATAAGTTGCGTCACGCCGAAAGTCGGAAACTGGACCTCTCCGCGCACCCAATAACCACGTCTGCGACCTCCTAAAAAAAGAAATATGTCACGCATTTTTTTACTACTCGTGTCTTTTCGCGTAAAAAATCGGCATTTTTGTCAATGTTTTTACTACAGTCGGAAGAAATTTTCAATCATGTGACGTCACGTTTACTTCACCCTCTCACACGCGGGGCCGGAATGCCTCGCGCTCAAAATCAGAGACGGAGTGATTATCACTCCGAGTTATCATCATTGGCGGATCCAGCAACTTGGGAACACCGGATTTCCTCCATTTAAACCTACGGAAATGTATCGGTTCTTGGAGGAGCCAGGTGCTCCGTCAAGAATCGATTATTTAGCGTAGGTTTAAATGGAGAAAATCCAGTGTTGCCAAATTGCTGGATCTGCCTCTGGTTATCATAATTAAAATAATCGCGGAGTCTGAGTAAATTATCCGCCCAGATTTTCCCCAAAGTGGGCCTTGATTGATTTGGGGAATTCCGTATTTTTTTTTTTTTTTTTTTTTTTTTTTTTTTTTTTTTTTTTTTTTTTTTTTTTTTTAAATCTAATCGATATTCGTCAGTAGCTTCATTCAACTCAGACTTGAAGATGGCTGCCGTTTCTCACACTGAAAAAAACTCCGGCCGTAGACGCCGTACTTACGGGCCATACTGACATACCCTCTGCGTTCCGGGCTCAGAGGCCGAAAGTTCTGAGCGTAGCACCCGGAGTAATCGAAGCTACGGCTCCAGCACCCGAAAGATTCTGCCTTTGAGCCCGGAACGGACGGTACGTCCATATAGCCCGTAACTTCTTTTTTCAGTGTAAGCTAGAGACAAGTGAATGCGACTATATATCTGTGAATATTTTTCTTTTCTTAATGATTCTCACTTTTGAGCAAACCAGGCAACTGAAGCTAATATCTCTTCTCTTTCTCTTGTTGCAGAATGAAGTTAGCAAACCAAAGAGTCGTGCCTGTAGCCCTGCACCACTATGCTATGAGGTAAGCACCATCATATTATTTTTTCCAGAAAGCTTTGTATTATAGTACTTTTTCAATATATTTTTAGAAGAGTTTAGCGTAATCGTTCTAAGGCAAAACTTTAACACTGTTTGGGTCGAACTACGTTGTGATTTTGTCTTTTGATGATAGTGGGTTTGGTCTCGGGGAAATCCTGAACCAACCCTGGAAACTTTCAGAAACAGGTTTTTTTCAGTAGGATCTTCCTTCTCCTTGCTAGTGCAATTAACTGACCAAGAGAGGGTTCGGAATTAAGGATCGTCTTTGCAGTGCACTTGAAAATTTCATTCAAGCCAACTGCAGATTTGGCTTGAGCGCAACCTAATGCCACCATACATCCTCTATCTCTCTTCAGCGTGTTACTCGATAGGCTATGTTGATTTAGGTGTAAAGCAAACAAACCAACAAGCTGGATCTCTTCTTTGCACAATAATTCTCAGATTGTCACCTTAATACTTTTATTTATACCCGGTCAGGTGACAAAGTGCATTTCCTGCCAAGATTATCATTGAAAAATTGCGAAACCACTCAGCATCTTCGTGTCATTGAAGAAACCGAATGTATTAACGTATGGACGTAGAGACTCCAATCAAAAAATCAATTTCTCGGCCACGTTTACATAATTTAACCATAGAGTAATGCATGAAGTACTTTTATGTAAACTTATTTAACTCCGCACCTATACGGTCTTACGCAACTCACCGGCCACCACGCCCCTCTCCTAAATTCAGCAAGTTTCGTCTATCTGTAGTGCCGTTTTCATCGGGTTACTCAGAATTCTATAACATATTTTTTGTACGATCGCGTGCATGCATTATTATTTCTCTGCACATATTACGCAACACTTGAGAATTACAATAGCATGGGAGGGAAGGGGTGGGACGCGGGACTGCCAGATATAGACTTATTCGCCTCTCTCAACGTAAAATCGATTGCCATGAAATTGCTGAAAACAACCGAAAAGCTGTGTGCGTCATTCAGTTTTTTTTCTCTCAGGGAACCACGCTGAAAATTGCCGCTAATTTTGGTTTGAAAATAAAGAACTTGAATCTAAAAAAAGAAGATTTAACTGAAATCCTGATGAAAAATCACACCAACCTTAGACGCGCGCGCAAACCATAGGCCGCATTCACGAAGTATTAAATACCTGCGCTTCATCTTGGGATTAAATGGACCGCGTTAAACAGAAAGGAACCAAGCCACATCAGCTATTGCCAAATTTAATTGGCTAAGTTAATTTTTTACATGAAAACTGTTGTGCGGATTTTCGTACAAATTTCAGTGAATTTTCTCCATAGTACGAAGCAAATGCCTTAACATTTTCAAAGGGATGCGCACAAACGTTCTCTCGTAAAAAATTAAATTGCCCAGTTAAAATTGGGAATAGCTGATGTGGCTTGGTTCCTTTCTGTTAAACGCGGTCCAAATAGCGCTCAAATTTTTTCCGAAATTACCATGGAACGACTTAGCCGCATTCGTCGCTCTGAGATCAAAGGAGGTAGGGGCAGCGTTGTTGTATGTTTTAAAAATCGAAGCATTATTCGGAAAATTGACACTGTCGTAATGAAAGTCAGTTTAAGTAACTTTATCGGCACAATAGGAGACGCTGGAATCAAGTTCCGGTGTAAGAGAAACAATCCAAGATTTATCTATTGTCGCATACGACGGATACTTAACGAATCAGTAGAACGCCTGGATGCAACTATTCGGGCACTTTGGATGTCCGTGTTGCATACGCACGGCAATGCAGGCGTTTTTGACTGTCCAGACACTCGCCCGTTTCACCCGCGGCGTGGCGTGGCTCAAACAGCGGGCTCTACTGCGAGGATCAAAAATGGCAAAGCGCTTAGCGCCTCCAATACTTTGTTTATATTACAAGGATATCTCCTATAGGCACGAATAGTTGCCTACACTGCCGTGATAGCGAAGAAAGCAGTAAGCGTCAAATTCTCGAAATCGAGTTTCCTTCAAAATTCGTCCAAACTCTTTTAGATGAAATCACTGCAGTTGCTAAAACAGCAAAATTAATTTTATGTTCATGAAAACGAGACATATGAGAAAGCCGTAAGTGCGCAAAAATGACGTAGTTTTAGGCCAGACAGCAGTAAGTGACAATATTCCTCCAGGGAACCAATGAAGACAGTGCTTTCAAGTGAAGTGCTGCCCTGTTCTGCGAATATCTAATCTGAAAATACGTTTGTTGTGTGTCCCAAACGCAACCACCCACGCATGCAGAAGATAGCACTTACTGCTGTTTTGCCTAACAATAACCTAGTGTGAAAATGCAAAATACGCTCTTTTTGTAATTAAAGTAAAATCAGTCGATTTTTAATCATCCAAACGATTTCCAGGAGTCTTGCGGAGGACCAGTGATAATTTGAGAAAGAACGGAGGTTTCTCTCAATACAATTTTCCGATCAGATACTTCTGAGCCCGTTTTCTGAAAACTTCATTTTTGCACTTACTGCTCTCTTCGCTATCACGGCAGTATTCACGTCTAATTTCTTCGAAGTATAGGAAATGTAGAACTGAGTTCGTCCGACTCCTCTCGTTGCTTCGCTTCACTGAGCGCCGCTAGAGATGCGGTTAGTGTCTGACGCCAAAACGCCTTCAATTCCGTGCGTATGCAACACGGACATCCGTGGAGCCCGAATAGTTGCATCCAGGCGTTATAATGAAATTAGTTTAGTATGTGTCGCGTGCGACATATAAATTGGACTACATTTTGCATTTACTTAGGAACTATAATTTCGGCCCGGTTTAAAAACAACGTATGTGCCATTAATTTCCCTATGCACACAAGTATTTTTTCAGATGAGCCAGAATTTATAGGTCCAAGTTGCAAAATGCAGTCCAATTGAAGATTTTATTGTCTCTCTCTACATTCCATCTCGTTCCAGCGTTGCCCAATGTGCCGATGAAGTTAACATTTTTATTTTTATTGAGATGTCCATATTCCGAGAAATTCGTCATTTAAATGTACGTTGCCGGCCCTCGAAATCGCAAAAAAATTAGGTATGTGTACATGATCGATATGTAGAGTTTCCTATAATCTACCGTACTCAATGAGCGTCCTCTCTTTGAATTTGTTTTATTTTTTTAGCTGTATAAATTTTTCTTCGAGAAAATTAGTTTTGGCTTTGTAGTGCAAACTTTTCTAAAAACGATTCTGATAAATCGGACGGAATTTGGAACAAAACCGCCCTGGTAAAAATCGGCGATAGGAGTTGCGTTTCAAAATACCATAGGAGTTCTTACAGCCGACGGAAGACGGCGGTAGAAAATCATATAGCTGGCTGTAGAAAGTGGAAAAAAGCATACGGCCGGGCTAAACGAAGCGATAAAAAATTATACAGCCGGGCTATAGTTCCTATCGCCGGGCTTTACACTTTATCGCCTGGCTGTTGCTTTCTCGCCATCGGCTATAAAAAGCTATAAGAAATTCGTGTGCTTTATAAATCCTTAAGTTTGTACGGAATCACCTTAATATTCACAAAATGCACATTATATTTTCCTTTACTACATATTTTTTCCCATCAATTAAAATGAGAATAATCCATACAGAGTGTGCAAACATTTCAAAGTCATGAGTTGAAAAATGCTGTCTTCACGAGATTAAATATTAGAGCCTAACACAAAGCGGAGCGGCGGCGCACTGGCGCCTACAAACCTAACAGGGATACTTCACGCATTGCGCAATGCGTGAAGTATCCCTGTTAGGTTTGTAGGCGCCAATGCGCGTTTCGCGCTGGCTGCCCGTCCGCCGCGCCGCGCCGCACCGTACCACGGCGCTTGAAGCAACTATTTCACACCTGAAGTATTGCACAGTAGCATACGAAATTGAAGGCGCTCCAACATATTAGGAATAGCAGGCATCCTTCTAAAGTACGGAGCTTTCCTCGCAAAATAAATCAAGATACTACGGCCCAAAAAGAAAGCAGTAGTAGTCCAAAAACTCACCAAGTCCTAGCATCCGTAATTAGTAACGTTTAGCATACACTTTATCGCCAGGCTGTTGCTTAATCGCCATCGGCTATAAAAGGCTATAAGAAATCGTGTTGCCGGCTATAGAAGCTATTGGAAATCTTACAGCCGGCTGTAGGTCTATGGTATTTTGGAACACAGATTCTACTGCCAATTTTTACCAGGGCGATTACAATTCGTCTTTCGAAGAAATGAAATGCCTTTGGAAATCTGTAACATCATTCCGAGTATACAGGGTGTACCAAAAGTCCGTCCCACCCCTGCTAACTTTTGAACGAATTGAGCTAGGGTAATGAAACTTTGGGAATGTTCCTATCTTAATGGGGACCATCTTCNGGAACCCTGATTCTACTGCCAATTTTTACCAGGGCGATGACAATTCGTCTTTCGAAGAAATGAAATGCCTTTGGAAATCTGTAACATCATTCCAAGTATATGGAGGTATACTGCCGTGTTTAGGAAGAACGCCGTATGAAATTCGAGAGTTGCCAAATTTCCCATGATAAAACATGTATTTTTGACAACATTCATGCATATATTTCCTTGAAATTTTCAGATGTGTTAAATTAAATTGCGTACAAAATTGTCTGAAAATTCTGGAAAATAATTTTCCGAATTTTCCCCGTAAATTCGGTTTTTATCGGAGGAAACTTGGCAACGTCTGAAGGCTCATACGGCGTTTTCCCTTAGCCCGGCAGTATAGGAATGATTTCCTAGGCGCCGTGGTGAAACTGCACAAAAAATTCTGGTAAATATATCATGTCAGTGAAAATCATACTATGTTCTGCTCCCTCCTGAAATGTGGGCTGCGTCTAGTAGTTCGAAGGTAATTTTTGATCGCATGATCACAAGAAATCTTGTTTTATCATCATATCTGGCACTCTCGCGGTGAACGCTCGTATCTCCCCCCTCTCCCTTTCTCTTGGACGAATTCCTCCCTCCTCGAATCCATGACGTCAGCAGTCTATTCTGGAACTTCGATGCACGGTGTTCGGTGAGCCACGCTAACTGCGTCATCAACTCCATTGGTGTTTTGTTTTTGTTGTGTTTCATGTCATACTCCTCGGCCACTTGACGATTTCACCCATTTTGAAAGACTTTCTCAAGTAATTACCCAATCGTTTTGCCGATATTCCCAGTTATCGCTACCAATATTTTCGTGTTTACCCGTTGCTCACGGTCAATTCGCCGGTAGGACGTAAGTTGGATGGAAAATCTAAGTGTCCTTATCAGTTGCTCTTATCAACCATCAGTATTTTTTAACACACTTTTCGCCACAAGTCAGCTAACGTAAAACAGTCAGATCCCCGACGACTGAAATCAAGTCGGCTCGAGATGGATGATACTTTCGACCAGTTTGAAGATGAGGAGCCCTTGGAAACCTCAACGGTCAATGGTCGGAAACGTTTGTTCTCGAAAGAATTGCGGTGCATGATGTACGGTTTTGGTGATGATCAGAATCCGTACACTGAATCTGTTGATCTCTTGGAGGATTTAGTGATAGAGTACATCACTGAAATAACTCACAAAGCCATGGAAATCGGCCGAACAGGCCGCGTGCAAGTAGAAGATATTGTCTTTCTCGTCCGCAAAGATCGCAGAAAGTATGCCAGGGTTAAAGACTTGTTAACAATGAACGAAGAGCTAAAGAAAGCAAGGAAAGCATTTGATGAAGTTAAATACGTCACTAGTTAATTTTTTATATCTTTTCTGTACTTAAATTATTAATTAAATCTTGAGTAAATTACCTTCCGTTTTCAACATCTATCATATTTTGTCGATGTAGCACTGTAAGTCTTAGAAGTATTAATATTAAGTAAGTTTCGCTGAATCATTGACTTTCAATTCATCTCATATTCCAATTGTTATTAAATTTCACTTTTTTCACTCAGTTGTAAAAAATAATTTTTAATTTTTAATAAATTTAATTAATAATTCATCTTTAGTTTTATTTCCTTATGACTGTTGTAATGAGCCAAAAAACTGCAGTTACATTTTCACTGATTCACAATGTTGGAGAAAATCTGCTTGCTTCCAATGCCAAACGCAATTCTCAATTTCAGTATCTTTTGTTCTGTATTATTCATCGCAATAAAAGTATTTCTTTCACCCATGGAATCTCTCCCACCTGTGGTAATAAAGAATGACTCAGTTTTTCCCAAAATGTAACGTGCGTTGTTTTAGCTCTCAACCAAAAATGTAACCCGTGTATGTCTCAGTTCTGTCCGAATTTTGAATGCACCTCTGCTGATGGTTGATCATATCATAGATTGTGCATTAGCTTCTCAGATCACTACAGAAATGAAATCACCATATCATTGGTAATATTTTAAGTTGTTTCAGAGCCATTTTTAAGTTGGATTTTATCAAAGCAACTGAAAAATTTTTTCTGGTGTAGGTACCTCCTCTCAAGTGTCGATGTAAGCACTTAACAAGGTGGCACTCAGTAAACGAGACCATTTTTCTTCCATAAGTCAGATAAACCCAGAAATATCCAGAACCCTCTACTTTGTCTGGTTTCCTAAAGCTCTTTTTTATCTGATTTGATACGTTCAGGTTCTTGAAAATACTTGCAAATGTTCTTGACATTTCTTTTTCTATGGGTCTTCTAACTCAGATTCTGTGGAATCAACATGTAATATATTCAGAATTTTTCATCAGACAGAGCTTTTCAAGAAAATGTTTGACAGTAAAACATAAAATCATGTGCAAGTCTGGAGAATTAGTCATTGACAAATCAAGTTTTTCAAGCTTGCTGGAACAGTTTTAATGTGATGTATGCTGATCATCTGAGTAAAGGAGAGTCGGTCATTTTTCGAATCGCACCTTATTTGTCAGCTTCTCACATAGTTGAATCATTCAAAAGGCGTCAAAATTTTAACAGATATCAAATTTAAAGGTGACTAATCCATCCCCCTGAGGTATACCTTCACCCTTTAAATTCTTTAAGCTCAATGGCGTGGCACTGGTTCAGCATAAGACATAGACGTTCAGCTTCCATAGTCCGATCTTTGAATCAAAGTCATCAATGAAATAGATAGGTTCTTTTCTCCAACCCCTAGTGTAAATAAGTCCATTCAACCAAACTCAAGCATTTATCAGAAGCTCTTTAACTTTGCATTGTACAAGAAAGGGAAGGGGGATGCTGAACTACGCTCGTACTTTTGAGGTTTCAAATCATTAACTGAAGCCCCATTACATCGAAAGCGCCATTTTCTCGATCTTTCCTTCTGGGTTGATTGTTTCCGGTGCTTCTATATCCTGTGTGGGGCAAGTTTAGCGGGAAATTTGTGGATTGTTGCTTTCCAAGTTGCAATATCTCCTTTACCCTTTTAGGTACATGAAAGCTTAAATGCTGTGAACCCCCTAATGCAGGGGACAAGTTAGTAGAAAGTAGTAGAACTTAATACTGAATCCGTATTGCAGATTCTTTGTTAGCATTTTTTTATTTTTATTTATATTTTTGTTTCCTTTTTAAGTTGAATAGTTGCTGCACATTTTTTAATGATAGTTGGATATATATCTGTCTACAATACTAAGTAAAGACACTGGCACTATCTCAATGTGTACAATGGTTTTTCTGTTGTACTTTAATGGATCATTACACAGGGTAAAGATTTAAAAGCCACAACACATGATAGGTATCTCATTGAATCAAACTCATTGAACAAGCTGAAAGTATACTCACAAACAACTTAGGTCGGTATAATTCAGAAACTAACATCTTTTTAGTTTACATTGGAAAATTCCCAGTGTAAGATAATGTGATACTCTCCCTCAGTAGTTAATCCTTTTTTCTTAAACCAAAGTTGCAACTCTTTATAACAACTTACATTTTAAAATCAAATCTTTAAGTAAATGGTGGAGATGAAGCAACTTCTGAAAGCATTCAATTCTAGGGTTTCTTGAATGTAAAGTATTATCAAGGAATAAAACACGCAAACATGAGAATACAAAGCAGATGTTTTGGGACGATATTAACCTGCTTGACTACCTGGAAACTAAAGTAGTAAAATAACAAAACAAATCAGGGAAAAACCAGAACATGGACCAATGATAACAGATGACAGGATAGGGTGTCCAAGTTTTAATTTTTTCTTGACTTCATTATTTCTTTAGCTTCCTAGTTCAGAAAGGGATGATACCCAAATTTGCCTCCAGCTTTTTGTTACTCCCCCCCCCCCCCCCCCCCCCCCCCCC